TACTTTTCTGTGTGCATAATATATACACTGTATACGTGTACATGGGTCTCATCTAACGCGGTTTTGATCCTTGTCGACAGTACTACTGATCCTGGTTGTTTACATCTCATGGAAGTGCTTTTGTCTCGAAGAGTGTGGAGGGTGGGGGTGGACCTTCTCCTCCAATTTATTGTCACGCACACATTCACAGGCCAGTGATAGCCCCTACTTGCATAAATAAAGCGCCCTGGCCCTGTACCTGCAGCCTGGATTTTGTTAGTTTTCAATTTCGTATCACTCACTCTTTCTATCACTCCACTCCCGTCCCGTTGAGTCCAGATTGGATTTTGGTTGGATTATACATTGCCCAATGCTTCCATCATTTTCATATATACTCTTATTTTCATCCAATCTTAACTATGTGACGTTTTTCAAATAAACTGTTTAATTCAATCTGCTGACTGCTGCAAGGAAAAAAAAGGGGCCAAAGAAAACTGTCCAATCCAACGTGTCCCAAGTCTTGACATCTGATTTGGTCGGTCCGGTTCGAAATGTACCTGCCACAACCCGGTTTGGGGACCTGAGTTTGACATGGTTAATTAATTAAATACTAAAAGTTGCATCGGACACAACATGCTATTGCTATCGTCTACTCTAGTTTAATCTTGTTTTGTGCAGCTTGTCTCCGTAATTATTAGTTGTCGGTGAGAAAAAGTAAATTGTGGTTTGTGCAAGCTATAGTTAATATCACTCTATTAAACCTGTCCTTGGCCTGATGATAATCAATTTGATCCGAGTTGACCATGTATTCCTCTGTTTGGTTATTTGGAATTAGAATTAATTGAAATGGGATTTTCATTCTCAAAGGAGTGAGAGAGAGAATATCAATTTCCTCTATTGCCTTAGGAACGAGAATCTGATTCTAATTCCATTTAGACATGGCTTATTTACATCGATAAGAAAGAGTTTAAAAATGGAAATAAACTGTTATGCTTATGTCAACGAAAATTCTGATATATTCACAAATTTACATTGATTTTAGAAACATATTTAAACCATAAACGAACAGTAGAAAAACTGGACCAGAATAAATATTTACCACGAACCAGCATTTGCATCATAAACAAACGCAGCCTTAACCAATAACAGTTGAAATTGAAATGGACCCTTATTCTCACAAACCAAATGGAAGATCAAATCAACCCCCCACAGGATTGCCCCCCACAACATCCCACAGTATATTCCCCCCCCCCCCTCTAATGAAAAATCATTACATTTTGCGCTTTTACATGATAAAGAACCCTTTTTCTTTTAAAAGTTAGAAATGGATCGAAAAGCATTTGGTGAAAACTGAAATACCATTTATCCACATTTTGGTACTTTTAGCGGTGTTTGCTTTTTGCTTTTACAGAGCACTTTGAGCCCAAAGTCGGTTTATACAAATTACAATCACAAAAGTGAAAGAATTTAACACTCCCAAATAAACTTTTCTTTCTAATATTAACTTTACAGAACTACCTCAAATTTCAAGGACCCTTTTGAATTTCAAAACTAGTTTCTTAGTGTGTACAAGTATAAGAGCACTGTCCAGTCAAAGTTTCAAAATAGTTTCAGAAATATGATTTTTCTGAATAATAAAATGAAATAGAACCTATTTGGGATTGTTCCCAAAAGTAATAGCAGGTGTTTGGATCAATACATAGGATTTGGGGGTGTTCTCAAAAGTAAAATGAACTACAAAACCCAATAAATAGTAATTACATATACAAGCTTTTATATTATTATAAAGTGGATACTTATCTTGATTTTACTGCAGATTATAAAAATTAAATTTCATAACATATTATAAACTTTATATGTTTACCTTCTTGCACACGTGCATGACACATTTCCTTAATTAATCTACTTAATTTTGATTGGGTTTTAAAGCCCTTCATACATGCTTCATTTGTAACAAATGTGTGTGTGTTTTTTTTTTCTTTCTTTTTTTTTTAAATTTTTTGGTTGGTTGTGTCTTGAACCATGCAACCAAACAGAACCACACTAATTGTGATTTGGTGTTTTAAGCCAAATGAAACAAGAAATGAATCATGAAATAAATAGACTATGATTCAGCTGGGTTCACTAAAGTAGGAGTGTTCACGGGTTGGGTTGGGTCGGTTTATTGAGGTTTTCCCAACCGACCCGACCTGGTTGGGTTACCTGAGGTGAAAACCGAAACCGACTCACTGATAGGCCAAATTGACCTAGTCGGTTTGAGTCGGGTTGGGTTGGTTTCGGTTTTTCTCCTGTACAAAAGGACACCTAATTGAATTCTAATTATAATTGCCTAATGGGTTGCCTATTTGGTGTAAAAGACTATAGAAAGTTAGAAACTAGGATATGTTGCCTATTCTAATTGTAATTGCCTAATGGGCCTTCTATTTCTAGTAGAAGACTAGTTATAGTTAAGTAGGAAACTACTCAAACTAGAAACTACCTACTGAACTAGTAGAAGACTAGTTCTGTTCGGATCAGGTTGGTTTCGGTTTTCACACAAGAAAATTGAAACCGACCCGATATATCAGTTTATATATTTGCCCAACCCGAAACCGACCGGTACTGATGAAAACCCGGCCGACTCGGGTTGGATCGGTCCAGGTTAGTCGGTTTGATTGGGTTGGACATTCTTATAAACAACCCTACACTAAAATACAACCGCATTTATCCAAGAAGTTCATCCCATTGCTTACTTTTTGGCTGCTTGCCTTTTACCTAGAACAGTCGTAATTGTGATATTAGATAGCTATAATCTTTCGTACAAGCTGATTTTGGGCCTAGCTAATCTGCCAGGTTATACTAGAGGTAACACATGGACTGATCTTTCTCGGAGCAATATGAAGTCCACTCCAGCCTGTTTGAAAAAATGGACCTTAAAATCAGTTTTAGCCATTATCAGCTCATGGGCTGAAAGATACTGCCAGCTCGGGAGTTTGTCATAAAGCAATACCATATATGGATCATTACCTAATGTTGGTTCAGACTTGCGGGTATCATGGGAGGAATGGACAGAATACATAGTCTACTATTACTAAGAATGTAGGCAGGTCATTTCCCTTATTATTAGAGTTTTAATAAAGAGTGGTATGGTGTGCCAAGTGTCTCCTACTAATGTGCTTATGGCTCAGTTTATTTGCTGTATGAATTTTATTTGCACCGATGTAAATGCATGGGAGTGCAAATAGGTTAAATGTACACAATGGTTTATTTTTGCTCCTGATTTGATTTTCTCTTATGTATTTGTAATAAATAAAGTAGTAAATAAAGTGTGGTAGTCCCCACTGTATGGGAAAGAGAATAGAGGTAGGATGAATAGGGGTGCAAAAGGATTGGATCGTGATCCAATCTAGACTGGATGGAAATAAAGTGCATCCCTAAGGATGGAGTTATTTTTTAGGAGTGGGGCAAGAACTAAGAAGCAAGATGATGTACCCAATTTAAACCAAAGAGAATTGAAGTAGGAAACCACAAACAAATGGATGCAATACTGAACTGGGTGCAAAATTTGTATCCAGGTCATATTTGCACCACAAACCGAGCCCATCCAATAATACATTTTTTTTTATTTTAATATATGTTTAAAGAAAGTAAAATGTTGAATAATTATTATAAATTGGTTATAAGGATGAAGTTGAGATCAGGAGTGAACTATCGTATCATCATCATCATCTAAGCCCTGTCCCAAACCATATGGTGCATGATTACTATTTTGCCATTCTGTTTTGTTTGATGTCATATCAATCGTTAAATTATGAGCTCTTAAGGTTTTCTCTTCTTGTTACTAAGTTTTCTTAATTTATTTTCTCTCATTGTATCACCTATCGGAACCACTCTTAGGTTCCTTTAATGAATTTATTTTTTACCATGTTCCTTTTCTAGCTTGTGAGTCCGTGAAAATATTAGAGTTCCTTGCTATATTTATTAGAGGTGGAATTGCAGAATCCTATACTACGGGCTGCAAGTTCTTCTTCAGTCTTAACCCATGTACATAATGCACTGCTTCAGGCGCGGGGCCCATCCAAATTTTAAATCCAACCCATTAAAATTTATCCACACAAAATATACCACATTTTTTTTTTTAAATTCATGTTTAGTTATTCCCTCTCCCATACCACATATATTTAACTGATGTTTGATCATACTCTGTTATTTGTAAAACTTAACTATACATAACCTCTAGGGATGGCAAAGGAGTGGGTTTGAGGAGGGTTTCGTACCTATCCGCATCCTTAAACCTTTCAACTCGTACTTGCCCCCAAACCTATAGCGGGTTGGATTTTGAGAGTCTAGACTCTCTTTTCACATGAGAACACAAAATCTTCCCTAACCCTATCCTCCTTGCATTCAAGAGTAAGGCAGGTTGGACTTAATCCACATCTAATTTCCTATTATTCTTATTATATATAAGTAATAAATAAATAAAATAACATAACAACAAAATTTTCAATTATTTGATTAAACACATGTAAAAAAATATATAAACTATTATCATTCAAATAAGATTCAAAGTATTAGTAAATTTAACACCCAATGCATAAAATTTATATGCTTTCCAACATTATACAGGTTGGGGAAGGTCAAGTTTAGCCTAATAGCCGTATAGGTTTAGAATCCCGAAACCCATCCCTAAAAAAAACCTCTATTTTCTCCAATAACCTTTCTTTTCCCTGTATTTTCCTATTTCAAACTAGAAAAAATATGCGAAAAAGACGCAGGCTAAATGCATGCATTTACAGTATCCTCTCTTGATCCACTTCAATCCCAAAGCCAGCGTATCAAACTATAGGGTCCGTAATCTACTAATCTCCGCAATGGATGGATAAATGGATAGAGGCCTTATGAGATCCGTATAGGATCCGACCCCCATCCCTGGATCCATGTATGGTTGAGCCCGCTTCGGATCCGATCCTTTTCATGTCAACGTTATGGAGGGTATTACTGTCAGCTAACTAAAATTTAAGATATTAACCATATCCCCGGTGGTCGAGTGTGGAGCTCATTCATACAAAGAGGATCTCCATCTCCTCAATTCACTCTTCCTTGTAAATCCATTGAAATCTCTTACCGTAGAGTTTACTCGTTGCTGCACGTTTCTTCTCTTCTTTCGACGAAAACAATTGAATCTTCTGTCTGCAACCACATTCAAGTCGATCAAGAACATGTTACCTCGCGAATCTACTTTCGGATTTAGGACAAGGGTTCACCTTTTTCTGTTGATTTCTTTCACCATTTTCAACTTAGCCCACTGTGAACTCGATTTTCGAGCAACAAAGAAGAGATATATGAGAGAGAAGGTCCGGAAAATGTAAGTAAATCGTCGGGTCCCTTTTGCTTCCTTTTCTGTTTAAAAACCACAAAATTTGAGTTCTCTGCTGCATGGGGTCTGTTTGTTTTATAAATTACCAAGTCTAGGTTTTCTACAAAAACAATTATCATATTTAGGTTCAATGGAGGTTGACTTGTTTTAAAATCCATCAACACTATCATCATTGTTTAAAAATTTTCCATTCTATGATGGGCTCTTTTTTTAATGATGATGCATTGAATTATTCGTATGGTGCGCTTTCTATAGAAAAATCAATATTTTCTGATTAAAATTCTTCATAAGGCTCAGCTCGGAAGGAGTACATATTTGTATTTGTACTTTTTCCAAACTGAGCCTTTGGTAAAGTATAATTGTTATAAAGTTATTAGCTTGAACATATGGTTTCCTGTTTCTCTTTTAATGACGGGATTCTGTTCTTTCCCAATTGGGTCGTGTTGATGAATATTAACTTTTATGCTGATACTAGAACTACAACTCGTGAAAGTTAAATCCAAAATTTTTTGGAGGTAACTGGCACAAGGTTTATTCTCAAATTAAAAATTCTCTACATCCTTCCAGTACATAATCTAAACTTCCTAAAATCGTGACCAACTGAAACACCACTTGGTTGTTGTTGCCATTCATTCTCATCTTTTTCTTTTATTATCATGTTGAAAGCCAACATATCCTTGAATATCTGCTCTGCGAAAGGAGCCATTGTTGCTTACATGTTAGCAGTTTTCTTCAGGTTTTACCATGCATATGACAACTACCTGACTCATGCATTTCCGGTTAGTTGGAACTTGGCGATGCTTGTTGGAGTTCTATAAATTCTTATACAGTGTACAAAGTTGTGAATGACTGTTCTACTTATTTGCAGCATGATGAACTAAAGCCTCTTAGTAAGACATTCACAGACTCACTTAGTGAGCTTGGAAATTTGAAGGTGATAACTATACACCTGACATCTCTCTTCATAGGTTAAATTTTAACAACCCTTTCTAAATTCTCTCTTTTTCCTCACCTTTCAGCTAGAACACTTACCTCAGAACTACAATGGGTCAGCCTTGACACTTATTGAATCATTATCCAGGTAAGGATTGGTTCACCTCATTGTTTTCTTGTTTTGTGCTGATATTTTGAAAAGAAATGCATGGCCTCACTATTTTGATGCAACAGTTCTAACTCTTGATTGTGTTTTTTTTTTTCTTCTCTTTCTGCTTGTGGCAGTCTTGTTGTGTTGGGTAACAACACAGAATTTGAAAGGGCAGTTCTTTGGCTTTCTGAAAATCTTAGTTTCGATGTTGATGCAAGGATAAGCCTGTTTGAGGTATCCAACTCAAATGCTTCATATTAATAGACACCAACCTTCCTAAAACTGAGTTGATAAAAAAAATCTTCCTAAAACTGAGAAAGCGAAACTGAAAAAGGTGATAATGGCAACCATTTTACCTGATGGTTGCCAGCTGTAAGTTGAATGGTATTACTTGTGCACATTGAGTTATGTTAACCATGAAGTGTTCTGATGGTGTCTTCCCTCTTGCTCGCAATTGTGTAGTGCAACATAAGAGTTTTGGGAGGGCTTGTTTCTGCTCATATTCTTGCAACTGATTCTTCAAACAGGTTGGTTCAAGGGAAATACAAGAACCAGTTACTTACTTTAGCTGAAGATTTAGGTCAGCGCTTCCTATGTGCATTTGATACTCCAACAGGATTGCCATATGCATGGATTAATCTTAAGGTACTTCCTAAAAACAAAACTTCAGTCCACTACATTTCATTCCCAAGTTAATATAGTGGCCTATTGTAATCACCAAATTTTCTTTACCTTTGGAAAGAATATGCATGAAAAAGTGGGAATATACATGATGGGGCATGAATTATGCAATATATAGTGCATGGATAAGAGTTTTATTTTCTTTCTTGGGGAGAGAGAAAAGGGAGAGGAGAGGAGAGAAGAGAGAGGAGAAGAGAAGAAGAGAGAGGGAAAATAGTTTGGGAGTCAAAAAGTATTGCTGGCGGCGCCCAACTTCTTATTTATAATGATATAACATAATAATAAATGGGAGATTACATTTATAACTCTGGCGGCACACCCTAATAATAGACTAATTAAAAGAAGAAAAGAATAAGCTGACTACACACTAACAACAAAGATAGAATAATAACACTAGCAACACTCCCCCTCAAGTTGGGCTGAGTATGTCTATCATGCCCAACTTGTCACACAACTCGTTGTGTCGTGAATATGGAAGCCCCTTTGTGAGGACATCAGCTAGTTGCTCCTTGGAGTTGACATAAGGAGTACGAATTTCTCCCTTTTCCAATTTTTCTCTTATGAAGTTTTTTGTCCACTTCAATGTGCTTGGTCCTCTTGTGCAGGACAGGATTGCTGGCAATGCTTATGGCTGCCTTGTTGTCACAGTAAAGTGACATAGGATTATGAGCAGTAACTCTAAGCTCCCCTAGAAGATTTTTTAGCCAAAGTACTTCAGCCACCCCATGTGCCATAGCTCTATATTCCGCTTCAGCACTTGGCCTTGCTACCACACTTTGTTTTTTGCTTCTCCATGTCACTAGATTTCCTTCCACAAATGTGTAGTACCCACTTGTGGACTTTCTGTCATGCACAACACTTTTCCAATCAGCATCTATATAGATTTCCACTTTCAAATGATTATGTTTACTAAATACCAGACCTGTTCTTGGATACTTTTTCAAATACCTAAGAATCCTCTTTGCTACCTCCACGCGTGGTTTCTTAGGGGAATGCATGAATTGGCTTAGAACCCCAACTGAATAAGCAATGTTTGGATAGGTCATGGACAAATAAAGCAGCCTTCCCACTAACCTTTGTAACTGTTTCACATCTTTTAGAGGTTCACCATCACAGTCACCCAATTTATGGTCGACATCCATAGGAGTATATGCTAGCTTTGCACCTAACTTGCCTGTGTCTTGTAAGATCAAGGGTGTACTTCCTTTGAGAAATGAAGATGCCCCTTTTTGAGCGGGCAACTTCAATTCCAAGAAAGTACTTTAATGGGCTCAGATCTTTCACCTCAAATTGAGATGCTTGGAACAGTTTCAACTTTTGTATTTATGAGCTCCAATTTCCTAAAATGATGATATCATCCACATATACTATCAACACAACAACCAGTTCCTAACATCTCTTCACAAAGAGAGTGTGATCAGACTGACATTGCTTGAATCCTACTTGCTGAACTACCATATGAAACTTACTGAACCAAGCCCTGGGAGATTGTTTTAAACCATAAAGAGACTTTCTCAACTTGCACACCTTATTTTCACTTCCCTTGGCACAAAATCCTAGGGGTTGAACCATGCACACCTCTTCCTCTAGGTTACCATTTAAAAAGGCATTCTTTATGTCCAGTTGATGCAATTCCCAATCAAGGTTAGCAGCCAATGATAGAAGAATTCGAATTGAGTACATCTTAGCTACTGGAGCAAACATTTCATCATAGTCAACTCCATAGACTTGCGTGTACCCTTTTGCTACTAATCTTGCTTTGTACCTTTCAACTGTCCCGTCCGCATTGTGTTTAATTGTAAACACCCACTTACACCCCACTGGGTCTTTCCCCTTGGAGGATCCACCATCTCCCAACTCTGATTCTTATGGAAGGAATTAATCTCCTCCTCCATAGCATCTGTCCATTCAGGGTATTTTAAGGCCTCTGTAACACTTTTGGGTACAAGGATGCAATCAACTGCAAATAGGAAGGCTCGGTATGAGGGGGAAATGTGATCATATGAAACATATTGGGTAATGGGGTGTTTGGTAGTGCATGACCCGACTCCCTTTCTTTGAGCAGTAGGAATATCAAGGTCATCCACAACCAAAATGGGAGCAGGGGTATCAATAGGTGCACTAGGGCCTAGTTCATTTGGAGTTACCTCCTAGGAATCTGAAGGTGTCGGTTGCTCAATGTTTGGTGGCTCCACATCTTTGCTACATTGCTAATCTTTGTGGCGTTTACATTGCAAGACACGAAAGGGAGCAGGGTCTGGAATAGAAGGAAGAGAGACTTGATGGACCAAGACCTACTTCTTGTCTTCCACACTACTCTCCCCTTGAGGAGAAGCAGGGAAGAATGGTTAAGACTCAAAGAAGGAAACATCCATAGAGACAAAACTTATGACTAATGGGATCAAAGCACCAGTAACCCTTTCAAGAGGAGGGATACCCCAAAAAGATACATGGAATAGACGGAGGGTCTAACTTACCACGAAGGTTGTCTTTATCATCAACCTTCTTGGAGTAACTTTTCTTTCCCATATTGTTACCACCCATTGCAGCCAATGCCACTTGTTGCTCTCCCTCAGTTGTAACCATCACAATTCGCCTAGTTTCCTCAAATTGGACCAGGGCATACACCTCTTGAACTAAAGGCAACTCTTTATTGCCTAAAATCTAGACTCTAAGAGGTTCATATACGGGGGTTTAGCCCCAACAAGAAGGAAAAAATCCGCTGCTAAGAAAGTAGCTTCTTATAGGCCTTAACATCATCATCACGCTTCAATTCTATAGCCTGATAGTGGTCCAATTCCTTCCATACTGAAGTAAGGGCTGAGTAATAAGCTGACAAACTACGGTTCCCCTGCTTACAGGTTGAGGATTTAGCTTGTAATTGGTAAATCTTGGCATAATGTCTTTGCTCAGAATAAGTGGTTTTACCCTATTCCCATATTTCATTAGCAGTATCTGCCCACATAAAGTTCTTCTTCACATCAGGTTCCATGGCTGCAAGAAGCCAAGACATCACCATATTGTTATCTTGGTCCCGCCTATCATATTCAGCAGTCCCACTCTTGGGTTATTTCACCCTTCCATTTATGTAACCAGCTTTTCCCTTGTTATTACGTGCAGTTTTACACCCTTAGCCCACTCCAAATAGTTCAGGCCATTTAAAGGGGTAATTGGCATAGGAAACATCATGTTTTCACCTCCCATACCAGTTGATCCATGGGTTGATGTAACCCCGGATGAGGTAGAGTCATCATTTGCCATTGAGAGCAACACAAACTACAAGTCAAGAAACTGATCTACAGATGCACACGACCAGTCCCCACTGAACAAGTACCTTTCACAGTCTCAATCCGGGCACTAAACACCAAACCAAACACCACTGAAATGCACAACAGCAACTAAACAGTCCAGGAACAATCAAATAGTCCAGAAAGAAGTAATAAAATATTGCTGAAACTCACTGACAGCAAGCAAACAATCCAGATATTTAAATCTCTGTCTTCATTGGGCTACCCATTACACATACCAACACATCACAGCACATACCTGTGACAAAAGGGATCACACACCCCTGTACAGCACCTGTTCGAAGGTGCAAATCCAAAGAAAAAAAGCCTTCACAGCACCGGCCAAAGAGAGAACAGGGTCTTCACAGCGTCAGTTCTCTCTTACTAGGGTTACCTTAGTGCTACACCAAGGAAGAACCCAGAAGAAACAGGAACAAGTTGTTCTACACAGTCCGATTAGGGTTTCTTGCCTTCACTGTCCAAGAAATCAGAAAACTGGGTGGATGAATGTGATTCTGAAGAGAACAAAGGACTCCTATTGCCCAGAACCTTGCTCTGATACCGTATTTTCTTTCTTAGAGAGAGAGAAAAAAGAGAAAAGGGAGAGGAGAGGAGAGAAGAGAGAGGGAAAATAGTTTGGGAGTCAAAACGTATTGCTGGCGGCACCCAGCTTCTTATTTATAATGATATAACATAATAATAAATGGGAGATTACATTAATACCCCTGGTGGCACACCCTAATAATAAACTAATTAAAAGAAGAAAAGAAACAAGCTGACAACACACTAACAGAAAAGATAAAATAATAACACTAACAACAAGTTTCATATTTCATTAAGTGTCTTTTACAAGCAGTAGAACTAACTTTTGACTTGTCCTACATAGTGAAATAAGAACATAAAGAGTATGTGATGCTTAAATCGCAGCTTAATGTTATGCTGCTGAAGTGCCTTTAACAAGTCAAGAAATCAAGGTAGGGGATGCTCTAATACTTCTGCATGCTGTACATTTGAACTCATGCAGGGGATTGGAACCTACCTTCCGATGCATCCCATCTAGAGCTCCATGGCAGATATTGACCTGAATCATCCAAGTTGAGAGTTATTTTCAAGTGTGAAAGATTGAAATTCCCCTCCTTGTAACCATTAGGATTGTCTCTTCATCAAAATTTTAGCAATTTATGTTTGGCCATATTTTTGTTGCAACAGAGCTAAGTAATCCCATTTAAAACATCATTATCAGTACAAAACTACCAGAAAATGCATTTGCCTGTACTCCCGTAGAGTATTAATGGTACTCCATCTTTACATGAGGTTTTCAACATAAACTAATGTTTTGAACTTTGGAAAGTATTAATATAGTTTGTTGTTTTTGTTTTTATGAGGTATTTTATGACCCCACATCAATGTGAAATTCTGTGATGGACAGTATGGAGTGATGGAGAATGAGACAACTGAAACAAGCACGTCAGGATGTGGTACGAGGTTACACCTTATGTTTACAGTTTAAGATAAAATTATAGGTGGTTACTGCCATAAACGAGCTTTCTTATTTTACATGCTTTTTTGGACTTAGGTTCGCTTATTCTTGAAATGGGTGCTTTATCAAGATTAACTGGAGACCCCAGATATGAGGCTGCAGCCTTGTGTGCACTTCGTAAGTTGTGGAGCATGAGAAGTCCTTTGGATCTCCTAGGCACAACACTTGATGTGGTCAAAGGGGAGTGGATAGAATATTCATCTGGCATTGGAGCTGGTACACTCTCTTTGTATTTTCTTGTGTATTTTAAACGATAATGTTCATACCATTTCTTTATATTTAGTTGAATTTTCAAATTTACTATTTTAGTAAGTTAATTGAAGAGTTTGATAGGCTTTCTGAAATCTTCTCTTTGACTTGAAATGCCTTGTTAAGGTCAAATGGTCATTGTTGGTAAATATTAATGTTTCTGATGCTTGTTTCCTGGGGACAATTTGTAGGGGTTGATTCTTTCTATGAGTATCTAATCAAAGCACACATTCTTTTTGGAAGGGAGGAATACTGGGACATGTTCTGTTCTGCTTATGTTGCTGTGCAGAAATATTTCCGGCATGGACCGTGGTATTGTACCAAGCATTTCTCAAGTGATTTTTTTTTGTCTACTTGTTCTCTTGTTTCTTCACATTGTTCATTTTTGATTACTTGATAATGGAAACAATACCTTGATTGGTTCCTAATATGCATTTCATTGTAGCTAACCAAAAGCTAGAGTTGTGGAAAATTTCCTACTAATGATACAATAACAGAAATGTGGATCCACTTTGTGTAACTTTTAGGAAAAATAGAAAACAAAAAACAAAGAAGACTGTTTTTTTTTACTTTCTTCTTTTTCTTTTTCAATATCCTAAAATTTACTCCATCTGCAGGGACACAACTTAAAATTTTGTGACTACATAATTTGGTGGTTGGGGAGGGGGGACGCCAAGGATCAAAATTTTGCAGAGTATTGGCCTGTATCAGCCAATATGTATTGTATCGTTGACCCACCGATACGCTATTCTAGGCATTGTTTTGGGCTTTGACCTGTTTCAGGGGGTAGACAGACCTTATACTGACCCCCCTGAACAGGTTTGAAAAAAAAAAAACTAGAAAAGAAAAAGTGAAGTGCCTATCACTGTATCGATATTTAGAACCTTGGGGGGACCTTACCCCTAACTCCTACATACCCCTGGATACATCAAGGAAAAGCCACCTGTCTCACAAAAGAACAATACTTCCAGGCTCCAGCATGTTGAGGGACATAAACTTACCCCTATCAGGAACTAGTACACTGAATAAAATGAAAGAAAGAAACACAAAATAAAAATTAGAGCATTTAAATCCAGAATGCTTGCATGCTCTATTAATCAAGATGAATGAACATCATTTGACGATTGTCTGGTATCAATAAATATTAATTTATCTTCTCATATGCCTCTCTGCTAGCAATTCCATCAGTTACTATAGAACTACATCTCTTTAGTTGCCCTTAAGTTTATATTTAATGTCATAGAGACAAGATCTCTGTCCATCAATGGCTACTAAACAAAGGGGAAACCTCCTTCACAACAAGGTTAACCAATGACATTTAGCAGGCTATGGATGATGCAAAAGTTCTTCTATTAGTCATCTCTATCTGATGAAGCCTGAACTTCAACTGCTGACTTTTTGTTACGGCCACATCAATGCCAGAATGTTAGAAATAATTCATCTATTTCAATACCATTACCATTGCTAGGGCCAGTATGGCCTACTCCATTTAACCAATAAAATATCTTGGTCTTAATTGCTTTGTCCTGATTCAAAGTTCGTTCAGGGACAGCTTCTTCAATGAATGAGCAATCATTGTTTGGGTAAAAGATGACCAATTCTTGTTATCTGGTTTGTTGGGGGTAGGTTTACTAGTCAGGTCATTTAGTTAGGCAGTCCAAACATTCCAGGAATCTTGCACTTGGAAATACAATTAAGGGGTAAAAATGGCGTCATATGTTTTTATTGCTGCTCTCTATTCATGGAGAAAATTTCAGCTTAAATGCCATATAATCCCTTCTTTATGAGTTTTCAATTAAACATTCAAACTTTGGATGGCTTATGTAACTTGGGAGAAACTCTGATGTAAGGTGGGGTGATTACATGGTTGATGTGGACTGAGAAAATGGATGCATGGCCAATCTGGAGGTTCACCTATCCAATGGACAATTTGTATCAGCCACAGGATTCCTTCAAATGGCAGAAATAGGTGAGACTTATTGGCAACATTCCTATTTCACTTGATTAGGAAACCTTTTTCTCCAGTTAGCAGGATCCCTAATTCCTTCACATGCTGTGTTCTTTCCCCTGTTATTAGGATCTCTAGATAACACAGATCCTGTTACTTTTCAATTTTAATAAAATCCTTTTTGATCATTATTTCTGATAAAAAATCTTTTTCAAGAGCAAAATCTAGGTGATGCTAAATATCACAACATTCCGTGAGATTCCTCTTAAGCTAGAAACCATATAACAATGAAGATGGAATAAAGCCCAACAAGATGATATACCGAATCTTCATTTATGCTTTTCAGAACTAAGCTAGGCATTGCTCAACAAGAATCCGACTAGGATATACCATATATTAAACAAGTTTCTAAACCTCACTTGCGATGCTCCTCCAAACCAAAGTGCCTAATCAACATTTCAACAAACAACGTGACTAGAGAGTTCCAAGATTATGATTAAGGGGATGACAATTATTTAGAGCCAATAAATTGTTTATACATGATAACCATACACAGGTTAATGTGCATATGTAGAAAAGCTACAAGCGTAAAGCAAAAGGACTTGCAGCCACTAAAATCCATGCATAGCTGTTCCTCACTGCCTTGCAGAACAGTCTTTCCTTTACTGGTCCATGATCCTCCCCCTTGTGCATGCAATGGCTAGAAGAAATTATATACTTTAAGTGATGTTTGAAAAAGATGAAAGAAAAATAATACTTATGTAGGGAGTGAACACCTTATGTTTAAAGTAGGGAGTGGATACCTTATGTTTAAAGTAGTAATAAATGGAACTGCTAATTGTAATATCCATTTTCTCTTGTTTAATCTTACAAGAGAAAGTACCTTCTAGGTTGTGGATTCATGTCTTTCAACCTGAATCTATAAAGGAGTAAAAAAGGAAAAAAAAATCTATCATATATTAATAGTTTGTTATTTCAAGTTGTCAGGATGTTCTTACTCCAGGAATTGTTTGGATAATCCAATTCTTGTTTCCAGTCAACAAAATTTACAACAGAAGGAAAAGTTGTGGAGATCCTCAGGGTTAGTTAAATCAGAAAGGTGGCCTTTTGACCACTACTGATGAAGGGAATGGATTGCTTCTTTTCTATTTTTTTCTCCCTGGGTTGGGGGAGGGGGGGAGTTGAATTCACAGGTGAGAAGAGGCAAGGGAGAACCATTAGTGCTTCCTCTTCTGGTTATCTCCATACGTGAGCATATTGCTGACATTGCTGACATTAAATAAATAATAAAAGGTATCGTCCCCCCCCCCCCCAATTTCTTTTCCTTTTCTATGAAAGCTGTGATTCCTAATGCTTGCTTCCGGTGCTGGACATTGCTTTTTTTCTCTCTCCAGCATACATTCTCCATGCCACAAAGTGCCAAATGTTTACCTTTTCCTTAAAAGAAATATTCTTCTGCTTCTATGATGAATGGTCCAACCCCAGTCCTGGATATGTTCTAAATTTAAGATATTGATTGATATCTCATAAAAGTTGATATTAGATTGCAATATGCAATAAAAGAATGATGCCAAATATATACTGGAATCTTTCTTTTAATAATGCAGACACATAATAATGAAGAGAATATTTTTTATCACTACCAAGTCAATAAAAGATAAATAATAATGTTCAAACTCAGAGTTAAACAGACAAGGGTATATAACTCCTGTGTATGCATGTGTCGGTAGTCTCTACTTTCGCAGCTTCATAGTTTCAGTATGTTATGGAAAGTTTTACCTGAAGTGATTTTCAAAAATGTAATTACTTTATTGTAGGTATCATGAAGCTGATATGAGGACTGGAAAGGCAACCTACTGGCAGCTTACCAGCCTTCAAGCATTTTGGCCTGGTCTACAGGCAAGTGATGGCAGGCCTTGATATTTTCATGATTGAGTGTTGGAAGCTTAAGGAAAAGTTGTATCTTGATCTTTAAGATATTGTAAACAGGTTCTTGTTGGAGACATTTTGGCTGCTAACTCTTCACACCGTGAGTTTTTTCATGTCTGGGAAAGATTTGGTGTGTTACCTGAAAGGTATCATTTTATAGCCCTTTTACATTTAGCTTTCTTTTACAATGGTCATGTCTCCTAACTTTGTAAAAATAATCTCTGGGAACATGTCATAAAGGTATTTGCTGGATCGTGAAATATTGCATCCTACAGAGAAATATTATCCTCTGCGCCCTGAGTTGGCAGAATCCACATTTTACTTGTATCAAGCCACCAAAGGTCTGGTTTCTCACTTGTTTCAGGAATTTCAAACTCTCTCGTTTTCTCTTATCAATGAGAGATTAATGAATTGAGAAGAGGATGCCAATGCTGTTGTCCCTTTTAAAATTGTGATATCATTCTTTAATATCCTTTATTTTTCCTAATTTTATGTAACACATCTATATTTTGGAATTTGTTTAACAGAAAAGATAATTAGTCCAAAGAAGTTAAGAAAATACCAACTACTACATGAAAAATAAGAAAATTTTATTGATTTGATCCTGATGTAGGGAATGTTGAACCATATCATGGGGGGTCCTCCCCCCTCCCCCCAAACTTTTAAGAGAAAATGTAATTGGGTGGGCGTCACATTAATATTTATTTATCTCAATGATGACCCAATTTGATTTCTTGAAATCCCAATTCTATCTTTAACAGTCCATTATTTTTTTTTCCTGTGCCAATCCAATTTGTTTGAATTGGATTTTCAGGTTGGGCTAGAATTGGAATGACTTATTTACTTTATGTTGTAGGGCTGGATTGGGCAATGCCTCAATCTTAATCCATCCCAAAGTTAAATAGGGTTCATACTTTTTAACCTTAACCTTAAGAGAAACTTCAAACTGAACTTTTTGGTTAGATTTTAGATGGAGAATACTTCTCAAAGGTGCACCTCCAAGAGAAAATTCCTGGTTCCGCCGCTGAGAATAACCCATATATGGTGGAAGTGGGCAATGCAGTTGCTTGTCATTGTCTACCACTGGATTAGCATTGACAGCCTTTTAGCAAATGAGGAACATGCTCTTTTGACTTGACAAATCCCTATATTCATATGAAATATCCACTAGAAATGTGTTATTTTACTTATTATATGTATTCCAGATCCTTGGTACATGGAAGTGGGTGAATCAATTATAAACTCTCTTAATTTATATACCAAAGTGGAAGGTGGCTTTGCAAGCATTAAAGATGTGACAACCATGCAACTTGAAGATCATCAACATAGCTTCTTCCTCGCTGAAACGTGAGAATTCTGTGTAAGCAATAGTGGTTGATTTCGTTGGACCAACTATATTTGAAATAATTCTTTTCATTTTCCTTTTCTGTAGGTGCAAATATCTTTATCTTCTTTTTGATGATTCATTTTTGGTTGATCAAAATTATATATTTACAACTGAGGGCCACCCTCTTCCAGTATTAAGTGCTTGGCATGAGAGGCTTCCAGAGATCTTCATTCCAAGAAACTGGAATTCCGTCAAGGTATCATCTCTGATCTTTGTGCTAATATTTCAGAAACACATGTACCTGATCTGCCAGATCTTAAGTATACTCTCTCTCCCTCCACCAAACCAGGTAGTAGTTTGTTTGTCGATGTTTCGTTTCTTTATACATAACCAGTTCTTGATTTATATAACCTTTTCAAGTAAGTATGGGAGATGTTCCCAATGCATGCTGAGATGTGCATGTGGGGCGCCAATCTAAACTGTCTAGGGGCATAAAAGAGAAAGGGAAATGATTTTTTTCTTCTGTTTGATTTTTGTGTACAGAGGAACCAGGCAAAACGTGCAAGTTCAATGTCTTTGCAAGTCTGTCCAGCTTCTACCTTGTCACGGGGAGGAAGTATTGCTCATTGTGTTGAGAGTGCTTGCCACGTCCCTGACGCTCGTGCTGATCACGGGTGTACGAGTGAGGAGGAATGTGGAATTGACTCAACCAGTTGTCGGCAAAGAACATGTAGCATAGCTGGCTACTGTGGTCTGTGGCTGTTAATATCCTGACTCTGCTTATGGCTAACTCTCCAGCATCCCAAACATAAAAAGTCATTCTTTTCTCAACGAGGAATAGCTACAAATCCTATGCGACAAAGAATACGACTGATAAAGAAATTTTGTTCTGGTTTGAGTGTAATCTAACGCTTGTGTAGGTATGTGTGTACGAGTTATTTTATGTAGTTGGAATCAATTGAAAAAAGGTAGCATACATTTTGTATTGGAAGCATATAAATTATTGTTTTGGTTCAGGAAAATCATTTTGATACAAATCATGTAAGTTACTTGGATGGCTCATATTGAGTGAATCTGCTAAGCTCCGTACTGTAGATAAGTTTTATTTTTCATATAGTCGGTGAATTCAGAACGATACAGAGGCTGTAGGATGCTCTCATAAGCTCTCCACCATTCCATGAAGCTGCTCTTCTCCCTGAAAATCTCTCGTGAGACTGCAAAATTATTTATCAAAGTCATGACGTAATTCTCAAAATTAGTAATACTCTCTCCATTCTTCAACGATAATTTAGCCTCCTCAAGATGTGCCCAGAAGCAGGAATCCTCTGTTAGGCTAGCAATCTGTCTCCTTGCATCATTTTTCTGTTGCTCTGCTCCTCTTGCCTCTTTCTCCCATTTTTCCAGCAGTTTGTAATGGGGAGATCTTCCATTGGAAAAGTAATCCTTATTACCTTCCTTGTTATAGTAGTCGGCAATGTCAAGCGGTTCGACCATTCTTCTATAATTTGTTCCTCCGAAGATCCAGCGCGTTTGAAGGGGAAGGCCGTCCTTCTTAGGCTGTTTCTCAGCTTCTTCGACCTTGGTTTTCCAGTAGTTTGTGAGATGATTCTTGAACTTGGCAGCATCCATGTCCCGTGGGAACATTTTGCTTTTGTAGCAGTCGTAGTAGCTCTTAAAAGGATCACACTCACACACCTTCTTGTACCATTCAAGATGGGCCATATAAATTTTCGCGTCATTCAATTTCTTATCATCAGAGATGCGCTTCTCCTTGTTTAGGTATTTTTCACGTACCCATCTCTCCATGACGGTAACCAAATTGCTCTGATTCAACTGTTGCTGCTGTTGCAACTGCCCACGAGTTTCAGAAGGATAGGGTAGAGAACCAGTTACAAGAAGAGGTCAAAGAAAATAATCAGATAAGGTTCGGCGTGATGTTATAGAAATACAAATGGAAATTTTCACAGTAAATTGTTTTCTTGAGATTACATTACAATGCACCTCAAAGTCAAAGTATACATCTATACTATATATAAAAGTGCTGATATAGAGTGAAAGTTTTTTTGGACTAAAATTATATTCTATTTCTTTGTTTGAGAAATGGTATAAAAGTCATTTTATTACAGTTTTAATGTCAGTTTATATGGTTAAAAAATACCCATGTTTGTATATTTAGTCTATCTCTAATTATAAGGGTTAAAAAATGTAACTTTCATTCATTTATAAATGCTACTAATTAGATTTATTTCAATATTTTTAACAATAGAAACCCATATATTTTAAAACTGGCTCAAAAACAAAACCATTTTTTATCCAAGTGGTGGCTATGCAATTCAACTATCTGAATCAAATTTATCAACCTATGAAGTCATATTTAGGTAATAAAATTTTTAAAATAGAAATAAATATATAAAATTACAAAAATGTAGAAAAAAATTAGACACATGATATTTTTATTAATCAAATTAAAAAAAAGTGTAATAAAAAGAATTATTTTTATTGATAATGAAAATGAAATACATAATTTATAACTGACCGAAAATGAAATTATTTTACTGTTTGCAAAGATCAATATTTCAACTTTTGGGTCAAATATGTTAACCTTTAATGTCATAAATAAATAATAAAACTTAATAAAACATAAAAATAAAAAAAAAAACACAAACTTTGCAAAAAAAATTCAGACACATGTATGACCTCATATATTTATCATATTAAACAAAATATAAGTGTGACATATCAGAATTATTTTTACACATAAAAATACAAAAAATATAAACAAATTAAAACATCTATAATTCTATATTTAGACTAAAATACTCATTTTCGAATTTAGTCCATATTTAATTGTGAAGTTTAAATTGTAAATTAAACTGCTACATTTTACCTCATTCAATTCCTCTATTTAAATCTTACATTCTTTTTGGTAAATAAACAAAAAAGAAAAACACCAAAAAGATAAAACACTACAAAAAAAAGAATCTAACCAAATAGGTGAGGATGGGGAATGAGGTCCCCACCTCACCCTGACCCCAGTTATATATTAAATAATATATATATATATAATATTATTTATATTTTAAAATTTTTATTTATTTTTCAAAAAATAATAATAGCTAAAAAATTTTGTAAATTCAAGTCCTCACGAAGAACCCGTCCTATCAAGAATTAGAGATGGAGGACAACTTTTATCCCTAATGAAAATAAGACCAGGGATAAGGATTTATTCCAAATCAAAGTCAGAAAATGAAGAATATGATCCCCACCCAAAACCTGTCCCGTTGCCATTCCTATCCATCAATAATTGAAACTTTACCACTTAATCCGATTATCAGATAAAACAAACTGGGTACCTTAACCGAGAGGAGAGCTTCTAAGAATCGGATTATAACGGAATATTATCTATTAACACTGAAGTCAAGCATTAATTGGAAATTGAGGCATCCACTGCTCGGAACTCGGAAATCGATGAGCTCCCTCTAGATTTGGCGATGACCCATATTCCAATCGATGAGCTGGAAATCGGACCTATCCAGCTTCGACTGTTCCGTTCGCACTTCACAGTCGATGCTGCAGGCAGCCAAGCCAAGGAGAGGAGGAATTACCTGTATTTCCCCAAACCCCATGGCTTCAAGTTGTAAAAGAATGCTTGCCCGAAGCGGGGGTCCCTCAATCTGCAAAACTGCCGCCCTGTTAGCTATACTGTCCTTGAGTCTTCCCAAAATCGTTCCATAATCCACGCAGTTGTCTGCCTGGCCTGGGTTTACCGGATTCTCCGATGGCCCCGTCAACGCCATCCATCGTAAAATTGATTCAGGATCGTCCAAACAAGCACAGCCTGATGGAGAACACATCAGAAATGTACCCAAAGGCTTATAACTGTGCTCTGAGACGGAGAGACGAGGGATGGGATCGTCGTGGGAAACTACGTGTAGAAAACGAGAGTTCCATGTTGAGCGACAGAGTATGGTTTTCCGGAGGCCATCGTCGCCCACCAGTGGAGAACCGAAAGTGATGCAGAGCGGGGGCTTGGCGTTTGGGGGGATATTGTTCAGCAGCCATAAGGTGTAGAGAGACGCAACCGCTCCACCTAGACCATGACCGGTGACGATCAGCCGGGAGTTAGGGCTAAACTGCAAACAAAATCAAATTAAGCTAAATCCCTGTTGAGATTTTATGACTATATCTAGAAACTAGTGAAAAACCAGCAACTAGTCTCAGTGGCGGGAGAATGGAAAACTATTAAGTTTCTTAATATCCTGGATCGCCAAACTCAGAGTTGGGAGCTCAACATCTGATCTTTGAGTTTGGCAGAGGGAACTCTGGAAAGGGCACTATACCAGATATCAAACCGAGGAACTGCAGTAAGAGAAGTGGTGGAAGAGAGGTACCTGTTGTTGGAGACAGGAGAGCTTATCAGAGAGAGAAGTAAAGATAGCAAAGGCCTCTTCGTTAATATGGAAAGATGGGTTGTTCTCGGTGCAGAGGAACTGAAGAAGAGGGTTGTTTTGTTGAAAAGTGGATGACAGGAAGAGACCTCCACCTCCTCCTTGCCGATGGTGTATGGCAGAAGAGGATGAAGGGACGAAAGCAATGATTGTGCAATCAGGTTGTTGTTGAAAAGTTTTGTATCGAACAGAGAATGGTGGAGTCAACGGTGAGTTCGGTTCGTTACGATCGCTGCTGTATAGTTCGGAAATGACTGCCCACAAACGGTGGAGGAGGTTGGATGCCACCATCAGATCCGCTAATTCTAGTCCACAGCTAAACCTGGAACAAGAACAACCACTACATCAGCTTTAGCAATGTCATTGTATATGGTCCTTCTTCTTCTTCAATTTTCTTTATTCAAATGGAAAAAAAAAACAGAAAAATGAAAGACGTTTACTGTTACAAAATTAAAATGAAGCACAAAGTCAATCCACCCACATTTCTTCTGTATGTATGTGGCTCCGATTTGGATATTTGAGAAAAAAACAACATCGACGAACAAACGAACGAGAGAATGAATTATGAGAGAGCAGGGATTGGGTTTAGAACCATTTGCTGTGTTTCTTTAGGACCCAATACCAATTAGGAGGAAGGACTGAAGGAGATCATCATATCTTTGCAGCTCTATGCTACAGAGAAGAGTATGTCTTGTTTATAGTGTGTAGTAGTAGGATTAGAGGAACCCTAATTGAGATCAGGCTGGGAGCTGCTAACGAAGTAGCCGGTGCTTAATTCCTGGTTGTTGACCGTGGGAAGAGAGGGGGTTGCAGGAGCGGTAAAGAAGACATTTACCGCAGGAGCTGTTAACGAAGACTGAGGTGAGGAAGATAGAAAGAAAAAGAAGACATTTATTCAGGTCTGGTCGGGCGAGGAAATTTTGATTTTTTTTATTGTGTTTTATTATTTTTAAATTTTAGAAAATTAATTAATATGCCCTGATATGTCTGAAAAATACTTAAATATCCACTATAATTTCTGCAATTACTTAAATATACTCTGTCGGTCGCCTGTCGGATTACCCCACCCGATGTAAGGAGGCCCTCGTCTCGTGAAGTGTTTGAGTTGTCTTACCCTTTGTAAATACATTTACCCGGAAAATTAACTTAAATAACTTATTTACCCGAATAAATAGGACCTTATAATTTAGTTAATTGACTAATTCTATCCGTCGATTCTGTCCTCTTCCGTTCGACAACATTAACTGACGGAATCGTCACTACAGCTATCGCCAGATGATTCATCTTTCCGTTGGAATCGTCTCTGCATTTCGACGTCAAATCATTGAGAATTAACGCTCGATCAGTTTCTGCTATTAGAAATGACTTGGGGGAAGGGGAAGCGCAGCTCCACCTCATTATCCTCGTCATCATCTCCGACGATGCTATCAGAAACACTGATAACAGAAACTGATTGGGCATGCACACTTCCTTCCTTACCCGACAATCCACCAGACGGAACTCTTCAAAAAAATTAAGCGCTGCTACAGCCATGGAGGTCACACCCACTTGGGTTATTAGCAGCCATGGCGGTCTCTTCTTCTATTAATTCTTGCCTTCAATGTTCAGGGTTCGGACTAGAAGATTTTGTGTTGGATCAGCTCTTTCCCCTATACTTCGCATCTAGTGGATTGAAGACAGATGTTGTACATCCATTGATTGATCATGGCTGAGCAAATTATGTGAGTGATGACCCAGAGACCAGAATATTTACATCCACTACTACGCCGCTCACGTCACACTATGAACAAGGTCGAGTGTGAAATCAGGCGTAGAGAGGGAGATCCGGTCAGAGTTGGTAATGAGAAGACTCTCGAAGGTTTCCATTCAAGATCTTCCACATATGTAGAGAGAGAGAGAGAGAGAGAGCAGCAAGGATCCCAACCCATCTCCGTGCCAATCCATCTGAATTTTAAAAGCGAGCATAGCAAGAAATTCTGTACTCTGTAGTTTGTAGTGGATAGATAGATATAGAGTTTGACGTGATACAGCTGTTGACGAAGACTATACAGTCCATCAAACTTTCCTTGATCAATCCTTTCATGTCGTAAGCTTGTAATCTCCTCCAAAGGCTCTTACCATGACCGTTCGCTAGATTCGACAGGCACAGAGCTCAGGTCGTGTCGCTAATGGCGGGTTCTGAAATCCTCGATAGCAAATAGCACTGGGCTCTGTTACTATAGAGAACAATTCTCCCTTTTTTCATGTTTAACGGGCACAAATTCAGGGCTTCCGAATACTTCAGCATAGCTTCTTCGATGTTGCCAGATCAAAAGCTCTCGTTTCCTTGTTGCTTTAACATTTAACAGACTAGCTAAATCCCTTCTCTCCTGTACCTCTTGTTCGGGGAGAAGCTTCTCTTTCTTTCTCCTCTCCACCTTGAAATCCTATATCTCTTGTAAAACTCTCTTGAATTTCGATTTGTTTTCTTTGTAATCCATTAGGAGCGCTTTTGCGATTGGGTCTCTTATTCTTGATTTTCCCGCGAGACTTCAAAGTTCAACCAAATAGGCCAGAGAAGGAGCTGCCATCTCCGTTACTTTATACCTAGTATCTGGGTCCCTAAGTGGAAACAAAGGCAGTCGATACCCATGTACTGCCAGTCGTCGGAAGATCTCAAGAGATTATAAAGAGTTTCTCTTCTTTTTCTGTCGGTCTCATTGTAACAAAGGATTCTAATGAGTCCAACCCCTACAGGCGAGCTGTGGTTTACCAACCCACCCCACATCTCGCTCAAATCCTTCAAGAACTCTTATTTGCAAATGAGATGCCGGGTTCTTTCTTGGCAGGCAAAGCAATTTAGAATGTAGCAACCCCTTAAAGTTCTCTGGTTTGGTCCTCCGACAAGGTGGAGATGTGGGGAGATGGGGGCAGATTTTTTTCTCAGTGTTGTTTCTGTACTTGAACCACCTGTGCCAACCGGCTATCATGGACATTGCTGAGATCAATATTGTGAGGACTCACCATTGGCATCTCGATTTGCTTGCAGAGAAGAACCACCGCTTCCAAAGGTTGCAGCGGCGGCGGCTTCGTTGACAATACATAGTGTGCGAATGAGATGATGAGAGAGGGAGAGGGAGAGGGAGAGGGAGAGAGGAGAGAGGAGAGAGAACCAATGCAACCAAAAGGGAATTTTTGGAATTCTTGTAAAATAAAAACATCGGCCATTTGATGTCATATTCGATGGAATGTGAAGAAAATTTGAGGGGTAAGGAAGGTTTTAGACAATTATTAAATAAGTTATGGATAGTCTAAGGCAACACGTAAACAAGCAAAGTAGAGTTATTCAATTAACTAAATCATAATAATAATTTAAAAAATTTGCCAATTTTTAAAACATGTCATTGGCTTTGAGAAGCTAATTGGTAACTTGAATATCAATAATCTATTTAACCCAATATCATTGTCTTAGAAGTGTAATGTGGTTATCATTATGTGGGTTTGGGGGCAACCCCCACTTTAGCAGGTTGTTTCAGGCCGGCATGCTGGCTTGGACAGGCCCGTGTCTACACGGCCTAGAATCCCTCAAAAGGAAAGCTCGGCATGGCCCCCGACATGAGCCCAAGTGGGCCCATGCCGGGCCAAGCTGTGGGCAGTCTGATTTTTTTTTTCAGAAAAATTGAAAAAAGAATAATGAAATAGTTAAAATGAATTAACAAGATGAGACAAGAAATTTAAAAAAAAAAAGTTGAAATTTTATTTTATATGAATTTTTATGTATATTGATGATGCGCAATCCGATTGGTCTTAATTGCCGGTCACCTTGCCTTTGACAGATCCGAAGATGCCTGAAACAAGGAAGAAATTGGAGACTTCCGGGGAGGAAACCGGTTGGAACACTCCGAAGCTCAAGTCAGTGCTCTAGAGAAGGCAAGGGAAAATGAGAGATTTCAAGACCATAAAGCACAAAATATCACATACCCGCTTCTTTGGGAGATGGGGGTCTTTTATAATCACCCTGTACACTCACTCCCATACCTCTGCCAGATCGGGCATCATCACCTCCGCCAGATCAAGTGTCATCATTTCTGCCAGACGCCAATTCGGGTGTCATAGCCTCTGCCAGATGTTAGTTTGGGTGTCATAGCCTCTGCTAGTTGCCAGTTCGGGTGTCAAACCGCCACTGTCCTTGTCAAGGCCGTCTCTGCTACGTCTGAGATGGCGGTGACAGGTGGCCACTGGAGGGCGGCTGTCATGTGTCGGACCTCTAATCAGTCAGGCGCGCCACCTCTATGTACGGGCTTCCCGGGCGTCAGGTACGGTTGTTTAGTCAGGCGACTTGGAGCCGAAGTGGTGTGCGAGGTGAAGTCTTGAGTTCGGATAGAAGTGTGGCCCGAATTGCCCCGGGGTGGGTCAACTCGGGTTTTTGCCTTTTGCGCTCCTTGTAAGGCTCAGGACCTCCAAGGGAGAGCTCGGGTTCTTCCTTGGGGAGCTCGGGTCGCTGGTTCGTTTCTTGGGGGAGCTCGGGACTCCCTTCCTCGGAGCTCGGGTTGTGGGCCCGCTACCGTGCCGACCTGGCACTTCTGCTAGGTCACTCTCGGTTGCTTCCACGTGTCGCGTGGTCAAAGGGTCGGGCCAAATCTTCCTCCATCAATTGCCCCCCACTCCTCGTGCCCAGGGTCCTGACCTGGCGTGGGGAGTTCACGGGATGACGGGTGGATTTGCCTTGTAACGCTTTGGCCTTGGTTTGGACCTTCTTCGGTCTGACCTGTTTGTGTTTTCGGCCCGATCAGGGTCGACTTGGTTCGACTAGGGGCCAATCTCGGGTCACGTGTAGCACTAAACTGACTTCTCCTCGGGGGGTGCGCAGCCGGTTTTGCGGGGAGTCGTTGGATGGTTTTGATCTTGGCTGTTGATGTGCAAGTACAGTGGTTATAAATAGTGGGGGGCCCCTGGTCACTTTCCTTCGCCATTCTTCAGCATTTGTTTCTTGAGCTCGCGTCGTTTTTCATAGTCCGGTAGCTTTTCCCGGTGAGTCCTCAGCCCTCTCTTTGATTCAATGTCCAGCTCGGGTAGCTTAGATAGTCTTCTGGGGGGGTCAGATGCTGGTTCTACAAACCGAGCTACTGCCCCTGATAGCCTTAGTGAGTCCGAGGCGGGGCCCAAAGTAGAGCTCGAGGAAGAGCTCGAGTTCGAGCCCGTAGGCCGAGTCACCTCGGGTAGCTTGGCATCCACCTCCCGTCGAGGTTGGGTGCCAGATAAGTTCGGGCCTTCCACTATGACGCCCAAGAGGCTTTGGTCCCTTGTCGCTCAGTACAACCTGCCCGGGGAGTATACTTATATTTTACNGCTCAAGGAAGAGCTCGAGTTCGAGCCCATAGGCCGAGTCACCTCGGGTAGCTTGGCATCCACCTCCCGTCGAGGTCGGGTGCCAGATAAGTTCGGGCCTTCCACTATGACGCCCAAGAGGCTTTGGTCCCTTGTCGCTTAGTACAACCTGCTCGGGGAGTATACTTTCATTTTACCCTCGGGCGACTTCCCTTGGGAGCATGGTCCGGACGAGATCGTGATATTCCGGGAGCAGCTTGTTGCCGGGCTTCGCTCTTCCTTTCCACCCTCTCATCGTCGAGGTCATGAATCACTTCGGCGTTACTGTTGGTCAGCTCCACCCGAACTCCATTCGTAACCTTGTTGGGACCATCTCCCTTTGTTGCGAACACTGCCTTCCCTTGGACCTGGAAATATTTTCCGCCATCCTTATGCTCAAGAAACAAGCGGGTCCCCTGCCCGGGCGTAGGCGGGCCTACTACTTGTCACCTCGCCCGAGGTTCAAGCTCTTGCACGATCTTCCAAATAAGGTCCCGGCATGGAAGTAGGACTACTTCATGGTTCGAAGTTCCATGGGATGGTTGTTTCCT